CCAAGAGAGCTGAAAAGAAAACCCAAAACTAGTCCAGCCAAAACTCCTAAACACCAGGTTTTGGAATGGACTGGCACAGGCTAATCCTACAAATATTAGAATGTTACTGCCACCTACTGTTCCATCTTCATCAGTGTCAAATGGTCATTTCAAAGTATTAAGTGAGTCATGAAGAAGTGCTACTTTTAATTTTGAAAAAACACTATCTCAGGACATTTCACTGTTATCTGTCTTCCTAGAAATATGGTGGTCCCTTAGAATTAAAGCCATATGTATTCCTTATTAAAAAATATAATAAAATAGTCCACTCCAGCCATCCCATTAGTGTTCACTATAGCAATTTGTTATGTATAATTTACAATCTTTGTCATACTTGCTGTTTTTTCAGAAGGGACAAATTGCCTTGGAGATGGACAGGATTCCCACAGAGAGGTAGAATCTTGTTTGTAGGGATGAACTCTTCGCCTGTTTCAGGCCACATACACAAATGGATAGAAAAGCAGTAAGCAGACCCTAATTGTTAGTACTAGTCATTCCTCTTGTAGCCAACATATGGACAGTGGGTTGGCAGTTTGGTCACCTCAAATGAGGCCCTGAGAAGTGAGTCTCTTTGAAGAGAAGGTATACATAAAGCAGTGATTCCCCAAAATCTGACTGTCTATCAGTCATCTGCTAGCTGCTGAATCTGGATAGGTGGACTGGGTGGAGGGAATGGAGGCTCTGCCAGGTAGTGAAGAACAGGACAGGGACATAAGCATTATGTCCAGACACCTCAAAGAAGAGGCTTGGCTTGACCTAACAGCTTCTTCTTGGCCTAGTGCCTAGGAGCAAGTATTCAACTGTTCTCTGCCATCTTATCAAAACAAAAACAAAAACAAAAACAAAAACAAAAAAGCCAGCAAACTGACAAGACTCATAGAACATACATTCCTTTCCTCTGAAATTAAGGTAGTACTCTGGCACTTGGTGCACAAGTGAAGCCCTTTGTTTTGGAGGCTGTTGAAAATATAAGGGCTCCAAGAGCTATATGCAGAGTTGTTTCAGAGGTTCCAAGTACCATTTGTTGTCTCTGTGATGCTGGAAGAAACTCCGTCTCCTGCAGCTGATCCAGGTATTTCCACTACAAGAGAAGGTGCAGGATCCTACATAACCAGGCAAACCAGAGACCTCACTCTTTCCTGGTTGTACCTGTCTAGAATGAGCCTCATCAGCCTATTCTATACAGAACAATGAGACAAGTGAGAGCAAATCCTAGTATCCCTTGGTTATGACAGTAGGCCAAGCCAGAGGTCATACTTCTAGTAAGGGAGCATTCTGTCATCCTGCCTACAATTTGACTCTGTAATTAAGGGTATTGTGTATACTTTACATATAATGATGCAATCTTTTGGTTCTTTTATATGAGATTCTGAGAAATCACTTTCTTTTAATGACAGACAAACCTCATTTGTTGTGGTTTGTGGAACCACAGAGAGTCCTCTTTTCAGCATGTAGAAAGGGGAGAGGGATCTCTACCCTGGAAAATGAATGTGTGACTACTAGGGCCATTGGAGGCCACAATATATAGACCGTCACAGTTTCATACATTCCAGTACCAAAGAATATGCAGTAAGTAACATATAGTCTTACTACAAAATATAAGCGTGAGTCTAGACACTTAAAGAGGGCCTCAAGCTGGTTGACTCACCTGGGCAAGCAAAGTCTTCTAGAAAATTATATTTTCTTAATAATGTTCCTGTCCTCAATAGGCGCTGGTGGAAGAGATGTGCTAATACCCTCTTTTGTGCATTAAGAGAGCAGTCATGCAGGGGTCCTGCAAGTCTTCTTTCTTAGGACTGTGGGTAGTAAGCTAGCCTGACACCCACTTCTCTAGCTAGTCAGGAACACTGTACATAACGGCTAGTTTTCAGCACGAACAATGAACTACCAAATTATAAAGAGATGTAAACTAAATTGAGCCACCTGAAGCCTCAATGGGACCTAGACTGTTGCAAAACTTTGAACAGTGTGGAACTGTGGCAAATATTTACCTTAGAGGTCAGGAAGCTTCAAGTTTCTACCCAACAAGCCACATGAGGTGGTACAGGCCTGTATCACAGCACTCAGTAGGCTGAAAAAGGAAGATATCTGTGAACTTACAGCCAGCCTAGGCTGCATAGAAAACCCTTGTGTTGTTGTTGATGTTTGTCATTTTCTTCTCTTTTAAATCCATCTGACACAATGAAAGAAAATAATAGCAGGGTAGACAAAGTTCCAGATGAAGTTTGTAAAGTGGGCCAAAGACAGTCTTAGTAGACATCAGAGAAGAAACATCTTTTACAATTTACCATTCGTTCAAGTTAACAACTCAAGTCCAGCTATTTCTCTCTTCTTTTGTGGATGTCAGTAATTATTCCTTTTATTTGAGAAGAGAAAGGAAGCCATCAGGGGAGGCAAAAGGGAATAACGGGATGTATAATCTAAGTGCATTGTATACATGTATGAAAATGTCATAATGAAACATATTATTTTGTACCATCAATATATGCTAACAAAATTACTTTAAGTCCATAGAAGATAGTAAAATTTAAGTCGTGTTTATTTATTGCATCAAATTTCAAAGTCTGACTAAAAAAATATTATAACCTTTACCTGTGACCATCTTATCATAATGTTTAGAATAAAAGGTGATAAAGGGAGATGTCAAAATCTAGTAATTTTGGATGAGCAGTAAGACTGTGATCAATCAGTATCGCCATTCCAATACCTACTGCCAAGAACCAAATCTTAAATATAATCATGGAAACACGCATTCATGTAAAGAAAAGAGATATTCCATTAGGTGCTGGGATGCAGAAGCCAGAGGTCTTTTTCCATCATAGAAATGGAAAATACATAAGTGCAAGTGTCCACTTGTTGATTTCTAGTTATTTAAGTGACACTCGCCTGATAAACATGTGGTAAACACAGGAGTTCAATAACAATCACGGAGCACAACGAATGGGTTCCAAGCACCCAGTGGTTAGAGGGGACATTGCAGTCTACCCCAAAGGCCCAATTTCTTATTTCCCATCCAGCGGTAAGAATCTTGTCCTCTGCCCAGGTCCCTTCTAGTCACTCTGTGAAGGCTGGAAATGTACCATTTACCTCCAAACATTCTAGAAACCAAATCCCAAAAGGCAAGCCTTAGCAAAGCAGGCATTATTTCTTACGATGCTCTGAGGCAAGTGGTTTCTGAGTAGGGACCAAGAGAGCTGGAACTGATAGAACTAATTTTATTTTCTTGGGTGAGAGTTTGATTTCCAAGTTCCCTTCAGAGGCAGTTGCAGTAAAGCCTGGCATTTACCAGATGCTGGGGATCATTGAACTGCTCAGTGGGGCAGTGAACATCTGAGCATAGCTGGACGAGCAATGAGGCAAGGCCTTTTTATGAATGGCGAAAGGGCCATGAGGAAAGGAAGAGAGAGGGCTGTAAAGACCAGGGATAACAAAAGGGAAAGAGGATTTGACACTCTGTGTAGTGTGACTTTGGGAGAAAGATACTCAAAATCTCCCCCTGCTTCATATCCTGAACAGTGGTATCTTTAAAGCCAATAATTTGCCAAGAGGGTCATGAGATGACTTACAGTCACCACTCATTAACGGATACCTCTGGAACATATGTTCTACTTCCATCAACCTAGGGTCAACTTCCATAGATGGACAGGAACTTAGGCCAGGACCAGCTACGGTATGGTGTGGAGGAAAATAGCAGCACAGTCATGCAAAGTGTTGGTTTCGTTATTACAGTAAGTAAAACACTTACTCAAAGTGAAAAAGAAAGTTTGAACTCAACGTACATGGAAAGTATCTGAGGACTTTCTTAGCTATTTCCTACAAAGCCAGAGAGGAAGTGGTCCCTGTGTGCTTTGGTTCTTGTACACTCCACAGCAATGCTAAATTCACCAGCGGCTCTACAGGCACTTTCTCTCTAGTTGTAGAAATTGGGCATGTGCCTCTTCAGAGGGGATGGCCCACCCGCGAGATGAGTGCTATAGTACCAGTCCCTGCTGTCCTGGAAAACAAACTTGGAAACTCTCATACGACCTATAAGAGCAATACAAAATTTTTGCCTCATCAAAATAAATAAAACACTCACCTACCTGCAAAGTAAAGGAATGTTTAAAAGTCCTAACTATACTCATAAAAGCTTATCAGATGGACTGTGAGGAGAGGGTCAGAGCTCAGTGCGGAACTCTTGTCTAGCACACGAGAGGCCCGGAGGTCAATTCCAGAACTGCAAAAGGAGGAATGAGGAATGACAGGTACCTTTGTCCCCTTTTAAACAGGCTCATAGAACACTATGGGACAGTTTAGAGTTGTGGTCTGCCCTAGCCTCTTGGTTTGGCTCAGTGGCTGCTGCTGCTCTTCTCAGGACATGTGTAGCTGGCTGAGAAAGCAAGACTGTGGGTGACCCTAAATCAAGTGGTCACTCAGAGCAATGACGGTGACCCTAGCTTTTTCTCATGATTGATTTAAACTCCTCATCTGGGAATTTTTTCAAAAAAAAATGAAAGAAAGAAAGAAAGGAAGGAAGGAAGGAAGGAAGGAAGGAAGAAAGGAAGGAAGGAAGAAAAGAAAAAGAAAGAAAAACAAAATATAACTTTTATAGTTCAAAGACTTCCTTTAAGGAGGCAAAGACATAGAAATCATTGTGGTTGGGGAAATGAGCAGAAGGGGTGTTTGTTGCAAATTTGTAGCTGTACAGGCCACGTGTCTGAGTAAGAAAATCCAACCTGGTAAGTATGACCAGAGTGACAGACAAGGGCTACACTTCCATTCCCTGTGGATCACTCTGGAAGGTTTAAATGGGACATATATGTATAAGCCCCTTTAAAATGTATTTTCTTTTTCTTTCTTTACCATATAGAACACACGTACATATATATGTATTATCCTAAGGTTAACTGTCAAATATGAAGTTGTCTCCAAACAGTTGGAAGCCTAATAAGATACAAAGAAATATCGTTCTAACAAAGACAGATCTTTGATGAGCTTTTAATGTGAATTGATTTATTTAAAACAAGGATCCAGGGTAGACTGGGAGAATGTTCTAGTAGAGCATGGCACAGATGGAAGTTAATTAATACTCACTAGCACCTCACATGAGACAGAAAGACAAAGTAGGCAACACACCACAGAAGGAAAACCAAGCACGTGGAAAAGGCACCTGGCAGGAGAGCCCCAGTGTCCCAGCTCCTCTAGCAAGGTTGTTCTTGTGCACTCAGTCTGGACAGTATTTGGAAGGGAAAAAAACAGTTCTAATCTGAAGCTAGGCTCCAGTTGACAGCAGCCAGCCTCTTCACTCAGGCTGGTCATCTGCCATGTGGCTGGGGACTGAGAGTATGCTAAGCAGGGACACAAAAGCTCCTTCCACCCTTTGCTTCTCTAGAAGGAACCCTCCCCCAATTTCAGCAGTGGATTCAGGAAGCTTTTAAGTATTTTAACTTGAAAACATGAAGTAAAAGCAGACTGACTGAACTTAATCAATCAAATGGAAAGGCAGACTCATAAAAAAAAAAAAACCCCAGTAACCAGTTCATTAACCAGTTTGTTAAGTCAACATCTGAATGAAGAGATTTATACAGCATCCACAAGACACACCAGCATGGAGCCATTGCTGGCAGCTGGGAACACACAGCTCTCCTGTCCTTCCAGCACACTGTATTGCTACCAGAGAACAGAGGCCATGTGCTGAACTCAAGAGACCCCTGCAGTTGGCAAAGGACCCCAAGCCGTGTTCAGCCACTAGGTCTATGGGAGACAAGACTTACACTCTCAAATCATGATCCCCAAAGCTCCCTCTGTTCTTTCTGTACAATTTGATCTCCGCATAGGAAGGTCCAAATGTGCTGTTTTCCTCTCAGGTTAGGCACTCTGGAACATCTAACATTAGCTAGCCTCCTTCATTTCTTTCCAACTCCATTGGTGACTTTGGACTTGGAATGCCGGTTCCTTCGTCTGGAAGAATGGCTTTCATTGTTGCTTGAATGCTTCGTTGGGTTGTCCTCAGCACCTGCCCAGAGGAAGCCAACACACCATCAGCAGGGGCTCTGGGCTGGGGCTGTCTCCTGGGATCTGTAGTTCTCCCTTTCGGGCATGCCCTGGCTTACCAGCTAAAATCCAGCTCTTACACATGACTTGCTCTCCCTCTAGTGGCCTCATTAATAAATTAAGGCCAGGGGAATCTGACAGTCTGTGCCTTGTGTGTACCAGGCCCCACAAGACTGGCGTTCTAAGGGATTTTTAGTCTGCAAATATGTAAGATAGACCAGTCATGGCACAGTCATGAGAACCAGAAGTGAATTCAAATGAAAGCCTAAACAAGGGACAATTAAAAGTTCTGCCATGTTAGAAGGCATCTATCTTATGCTTATAGCTACAGTACAGACTTCCCAAGTCTGTACACACAGACCTGTTAAATAGGCTTTGTAAGGTCTTAGTTAGCAAAGATTCTTGACTTCATAACTTTAAAACTATTAGCAGAGACACCAACATCTTTACAAGCAAGGTACCTGATGCTCTGAGTGACAGCCCCGAAGTGACATTGTAACACAGGGGCTACTCTTTCCTCTAATGAGCATATGACTAGTCCCTTGGCCAAGCCTAAGCCCTCTCCAGTGCTCTGGTTCAGTCATGGGTGAAACAGTTACCAAAGACAGCCACTTAACCACACTCTCCAAAGGCAGACCCAGCAGCATTTTGTCTTCATTCTAAGTGTCATTTGTCACAGTCCCAAGTTTTCCCTCCCCCCTGACTCTCTCTCTTTCTCTCTCTTGCCCCCATTCTTCATATGCACCATCACTTAGACGCATACATGTTTTCTATTGGACAACCGGGAATGCCCAGGCTGATGATGTAACTGGATGGGCCCAGATAAGGTCAGTCTGGTAAACCTCTTTGCCCACACAGGTCAACAGACTATAGGGTGGCAGGGAAGCGAACAGAGTTCACAGCACCAGCTCTCCAGGGTTATCTCAAAGCATGGATTGTAAAGGAACTGACAGGTCTTCCTTAAGCACAGACCACAGTGAGTTCATTCTCAGACCCAGTTTGATCCTCCCAGTCATACTTTTCAGTATTTACAAGATCTTAAATTTATTGGCCAGTGGAGCCTCTTCACAGTTCCTAAATTTAAAAATTTCAAAAAACCCAGTGGCCATAGATTACTACAAAATGCTTCCCACAGAGAGGCCAGTTAAAGGCCTGATCACATAGTTCTGCCTCTGGAATAAAATTCATCAGATTCATCAACCTCTTTTGAAAGCCTTTCCCTTGGGGCACACAGCTCTCTCTTAGCATTTCACTCACTATAAAAGCTCTGGACCAAGAGGTAGAGTGCTTTCATCATGCCGATTGAGGCAAAGTAGACCTTATTACCTTTCTGCCTGAGGAAAGCAGAGCCCGGCATAGAGTGCCATCTCACAGAACACACTTTTGCCTATATTCTGTGAACACTGTGTGAAGTGACAGGTGAGATCTGATGAGCAGTTTGAGACTCTTCGATATCTTGACCAATGCTCAGAAGATGAATACTGACCCCAAATCTCCACAGTAGGCCTGAGGATGAAGAGGCCTCAATAAAGTTTGACACAATGAACAAGACAGCTATTACCTTTTGAGCCTTTCCCATGATGCCAGGAGATCTCTGGACTGTAAGTGCCATCTTCACACTCTGAATAGGTCTAGAGAAAGACAAAGGATTAGAGGGTAAACTTAGGTCAATCTTGCAAGGAATAGCAGAATAATGACAATGACAATAACAATAATAATAAACAAAAGTGAACCCAGGCTGAGTGTGTTAGAGCCTTACCCTGTATTTCTCAGCTAGAAAACCTAAGATCTTCTGCCAGACCACACAGAATTAACCTTCTAGAAAGCATTAGCTCTGAGACTAGAGTTTAGCATGGGCAAGGTCCTGGGTTTGATCCTGAAAACACACCTGCACGGATATCAAAGCTCAAAGCTCTTGAATAAGCAAACAAACACAGGGCTGGGAGATAGCTCAGTCAGTAAAGTACTTTCTGTGAATGGCTGCCACCTAAATTCAATCCCCAGAACACAAATTAAAAAGGCTGGCAGAGTGGCTAATGCTTATAACCAGAGAGAGGCCTTGCTGCTGAAAAAAAAAATTGGACAAATGCCTAAAGAGGAATGATACCCGAACAAACAAACACCAACACACACACGATCATCCCCAGGACTGCCCTAGTGTTGAAACCCACTTACACCATTCTCTATTTTTTTAAATATCAATACTTATTTATCTTATTTTTTACTTAATCACTTTATATCCTGCTCACTACCCCCTTCCTGGTCATCTTCCCCCACAATTTGTTCCCTCCATTCCCCCTCCCCTTCTCATCTGAGTGGGTGAAGGCTCCCCTGGATATCCACCCCCACCCCCCAACTCTGGAACATCAACTCTCTTGGAGGCTAGGTGCATCCTCTCCCACTGAGGTCAGACAAGGCAGCCCAGCTAGAAGAACATATCCCACAGACAGGCAGCAGCTTTTGGGATAGCCCCGCTCCAGTTGTTCAGGACCCACATGAAGACCAAGATGCTCATCTAGTCCACACGCCATCGTCTACGTGAACAGAGTGCTGCTGGGAAGCCAGGACTAGGGTGCTTAGATAGGTTAAGAAGACAACAGAGCCAAAATAGAAGACAACCTTGAGAGGTCTACATTTGTTTTAATTACTTTTTAAAATTTTATTTAAATAACTAAAATTTAAACCTCTTGCAAAAGAAGGATAATAATACTGACCAGGCCAGCCATAAGCAAACACAGCTGTGCAAGAGGCACATTCTGACATGTTAAGTTTCTATATGGCAGGACTGACATCTCTCCCTGAGGCTGCTATGCTATTTCTTTCCCTCCATGTGTGCGTATGTGTGTGCGTGTGTGTATTGGCCCCCTGCCCAGGCCTTTCAAATGAAAACCACCTCTGCTTCCTCCTCTACCTTTTCCCGGTGACCACAGTGCTCTGCATACCAAACCATGCCGTACAGACACAGGAACGTAGTGAAGGCCTGCAAGACAAAGACACAAAGCCCTTTTATAAATGACAGCACACACACACACACACACACACACACACACACACACACACACACACAC